AAATATGCAGTATTGGGTTATTTATACAGAAAAATGTGGTTATTTAATAGGAAACTTAAGTTTTCAGAAGTTCGCCCTGTTCTACTTTTGAAATAATTCTTTGAAATCCAGTATCTTCTGATGCTGATTAATGCTGGTGAAATCCAGATCACATAAATCATTGGGATTAGAGTGTCTTTAAGCTGTAACTATTTCATATACTTCTTTCTCTCCTTAGGAGGTGGAAGACCATGTGGCGTTTTTAATAACGGTTCCCACTGCCCTGGCGATCTTCTTTGCGATATTTATCCTTGTCTGCATCGAGTCTGTGTTTAAGAAGCTGCTCCGCCTTTTCTCTTTGGTGATATGGATGTGTCTTGTTGCCATGGGATACCTGTTCATGTGTTTCGGGGGCACCATCTCTCCTTGGGACCAGGTAAGGTGTGAGGATATTTTTGTATTTTCTTTGTTGGGTGCCTTGGTTTGTGGCATGCAGAGTTTGATAAACTTGGTTCTAAACTGCAAACAGGAGACCGCTCGCTGAGAATAAATTCGTTAAATTAGCTGTCTGTAGTGAGTTTGAGGGTGTTGGGGGCTGATCGAGGACAAAGATAAGACACCCAGGTAGTGGCATTGTACAACAAACTGTTTATGGGGCAGAAGCACTGATGGCCCATGCAGAGCGTGGTCCCCGCAGAAGGAGGCCCTCCGGATACCAGTGGTACAAGGAGCCACCAGAAGGAGAAGAAGCAAGGGTACCTGCGGGGAGAGGGGAAAGAAGGAAGGGGGCTTGCATCTGCCTAGGTGAGGTCCTTCTGCAGCAAGTGGGGGAGCCTTACTCTGTGTGCTTCTAACTCTCAAAGTCTGGTCCTTGCCCTTAAATTCTTTCTCTGTTACTGGAGTCTTCCTACGTCAGACAGACTTCTGTGATACTGATTTCACATCATCTTGATTGCATTGTATCAGTATTATTGATCCATAGACCTGGTGGGAGGCCTCCATTCTTTAATTCTGAATCTGGTCCAGTTCTGGGCTTAGAAATTGCTGCGTCTGGCTGATGTCATACCCTCAGGTGTGTTAGTCTAACTGGGTTTTTCCCAAGTGCTGCCCATTTGGGGCCTTCCTCCCAGTGTCTCCCCCTGGCCAGGTGGGTATAACTTTCTCTTGTTCAGGAGACAGGTCTGGGCAGGAGATGTGGTCTAAAGAGTTACGACTCAAGCCTTGGTCTTTTCTGTCACCTCATACGCATGTGATCGCTGGGCAGTAATAATGGAAGACAGAAGAATTCATGCATTCAAATTGTAGTGTTGACAGAGAGTGTTGAATATCCCATGGACTTCCAGAAGAGCAAACAAATCTTTTAGAAGAAATACAGCCAGAATGCTGCTTAGACTCGAGGATGATGAGACTTTAGCTCGCTTACTTTGGATATGTCATCAGGAAATACCAATTGCTAGAAAAGGACATTATGTTTGGTAAAGTAGGGGGTCAGTGACAATGAGGGAGACCCTCAGAGGGATTGACACAATGGCTGCGGCAATGGACTCAAACATATGAAAGTTCGTGAAGATGACCCAGGACCGGGCAACATGTTCTGTTGTACATGAGGTTGCCGTGGTATTTTCAGTCGCCTCAAATGCATGCAAAAGCTGGACAACAAGTAAGGAAGACTGAAGAAGAATTGATGCCTTTGCATTATGGTATTGGTGAAGAATATTGAATATATACCATGGACT